GAAGGAAGGGGCATTCAGTAACTCAAGCAGTACCCTGGGTCCTCATAGACACAGGTGTCATAACCATGACATAATAATTTAGTATCCATAACTAGAATCCTCATCTACTTATTCACACTTCATTCTCTTGAACCAAAAATAGACTATGCAAATTTCCTAAAACAGTAGACTCTTGGAATAATAGAGAGCATTATCTTAAAAATTAGATGTTTATGATTGCAATGGTACAGATTTCTTTCCTTGTTTAAAAATGATGGTATACAGAAATTTTTCATACTGAGAAATATATAATACGGATATACAGAGAAAAATCCTCTTGTGGAATCAGGGAAATATTTGCAGTGATTTCTGGTAAGAAGCCCCAGAAGTTAGGAGGCTCCAGCTGCTCGGTTCTTTCCTCCAGTGTCTGATTCTCTTTCTATTGTCCTGACTACTCTCATCATCGTGTGCTCTAGAGGAAATGCTCATCTAGGTTTTCATCATTTAATAAATATTGTTTAGTTTGCTTTTTGCTTTTTATTATTACACCTATCTATTTGATTTGGTGCGTGTGTGAATGTGCACACAGGCATGCCGTAGCACATGCATGGAAGTCAGAGGATGACCGGCAGGAGTTGGTTCTCTTCTACCATGTGAGTCTCGGGTATCAAACTTAGGTTGTCAGGCTTGCAGTGAGCGCCTTTGCCCACTGGGACAGTATTTATGATAGCTATTCCAGCATTTCAAGCCTGTGTATTGAAAATACCCATATATGTCCTTGAAATACCCATTTCACATTTCTCAATACTTCAGTCATGTTGTCACCATCCTTTGGTATAACAAACAGACAGTAAGTCTGTGGCACACCAAGAACTCTGTGGAATCTCCTTCAGCCCTCTGGAGAGCTAGCTTGATCTGCATAATATGATGGTTGGCTGTGCTAGGAAAATTATTTAATGGATAACAAACTTGCATTCTTATTTATCTTGTGTGTGAGTATTGTCTGTGTGTATTCCCACATATGTGTATACCCATATATATGTAATATGTATATACATGCATTATTCTTCCACATGTAATTATATATGTATATGTAATATATTACATACATGTAATTATACATGCATCTGTAATATTTATTAAATGCACGTAATGTGTTATATATATGTGCACATAAATTACATATTATGTAATTAGTACTCCGATGCACTGGTTTCACAGAGGTCTGAAACATCACATATCAATATTTAACTCGGGTAGGATCACTTTCATTTAAAGTTAAGATTTAATTTTTTTATTACTCAGAACTTACAAGAGGAGAGTGAAGGTGGAAGACGATCTACTGATATCTAGTGAATCCAGGACAATTACCGCTGAGCAGCCTAGGACACATGGAACAGGGGCTGGAGAGACGCTTAATCAGTAAAGGCACTTACTGCCAAGCCAGATGACCCACACGGTGACTGGAGAAAACCAGCTCCCTCGAGTTGGCCTCTGACTTCCACTCAAGTGTCAAGTGTCAAGACACACACACACACACACACTTAAATTTAAAATTAATTAAAATGAGAAAAGAATGCTCAGAACAACTTCCCAAGGAATTTAGTCCCCATGAGTGTGCATGTGTTGCTGTGGATCATTCACATACATTTCTAAACCACTATTTATCAAGCACTATTCCAAGCAGTTTGATCTCAGCTAATTAACAACCCTATGAGCTGTAGATGAATTTCCTGTTACCGCTGTACAAATTATTACAAAAGTAGTGACTTGAAAGAACACAAATGTTTTATCTTATAGTCTTAGAAGTTAGAAATTTGGGAAGAAGCAGTTCTCATTAGGCTAAAATTTTAGGTGTCAACATGGCTGGTTGATTTTGATGGCAATAGGGGAAAATTCTCATCATCTAATCTTTCCAGCTGCTAGATGTTTCTGTACTCATTGGCTTATGGCCACTTCCTCAATCTTCAAACTTAGTAACATTAAATCTCTTGGTCCTTTCTTCCCTGGTCTCTTCTTTTTTTAACTATAGAGAAAAACATTTTTCACATACAGAAAGGCATGTTATTAAATTAAGACTAAATAATCTAGAATGATTTTTTTCACCTCAAAGCCCTGCAATTTTAATTGCATATACAAAGTTCCACTTTTGCCATCGAAGATGACACAGTCACAGGTTTTGAGGACTGGGATGTATTAGGAGTTATTTTTAACTTTGTAGGGATCATTGTTAGCCTCAATTTTATACTGAGAAATTGAAGGTACATAGAAACAAATAACTCATCCATTTCTGCACATCTGTTAGAGGTGTGTGTGTCGGGGGGGTGGTGGTTCCAAACCCAGTACTGTAGGCTCCACCAGAATTCCTGGTCACTAAGCTAAAATGTCAGCTGAATGAAAGGAAGATAAGAAGATAAGCAAAGAAGAATATCTGTGAGCCTAGATTCTTCTGGAGTAGCTCCTGGGTAGAAATCTTCACTCTGAAGCAGCCAACCAGCCCAAGGTAGGGAGTCCAAGAGAGAAGATGAGTGATTTAGGAAATGCTTTCATCTTTGTCCTTAATGTCTCCGTCCCCTTGACTGCCTCTTCTTCTGCTTTGATGGTACTTGATGGCAACCTGTACCTCTTCCATTCTCAAAACTCCTGGGTTCTATGATATCCTTCAAGGAAACATATTCCTGGCAGGAACTTTAATGGTATAGTTAGAATCATAGTCTTGGAGGCTTATGGGGAAGTACTGGGAAGTGATGGCCCAAGGCTGGCCTTAAAGATAGATTTCCTGCCAGAAGCTTTAAGGCGTGAATTCTAGGAGTGATTGCGTGTTAATAGAGGACAGCTTCTTTCTGTACTCTTGGCCCTTGCTCCTTACTATGTAACAGCAACAGTAAAATCCCTACCTTTCTTTTCATCCTGAGGAAGCCTATGTGGCCTATAGGGTCATCTTCCAAACTTCCTGCTCCCAAATTCCGTCAAGACACTGACATCAGGACAAGGATCCCATAGCAATGGGGAACCTTATCTATGACTTTGTCCTGTTTTGGGGGGTGGTGGCAGGGTTTCTCTCAGTTTTCCTGACTGTCCTGGGACTTGCTAGGTAGACCAGGCTGACTTTGATCACTAAGAGATCCTTTTGCCTCTGCCTCCAGACTGCTGGTATTAAAAGTGTGTACCATCACACCAGGATTATAACTTTGTCTCTTGGTGACAGGATGTCTGGGTGATATATGGAAAAAGAAGGCATAGAATAAGTTATATGAGATAATGTACCAAGTATGCAAACGTGTCTAGTTATGACGAGTAAGGTTAACAAACACACCAGAAATAGGTAGCAGTAAAATTACCCTAGCTTATTCACATCGTATCATTCCTTTATACCTTTCCCTAGCCACCACCATCTTTCTGCTGTTACAAAGTACAATACTGTGATTCAACTGCCTCCTTGCCTTCAAGGAATGAAACTAAAGCAGGGAAGGTGCCACACAGCAATTGCTGTTTTGCATATGGTCAGTCAAGGCAGGGCATAAAATATAATACATATCCTAGCACGAGAGGAGCAGAGTAAAGAGAACAGCTTTTTTCCTTGATTGTGGGGAGAGGAGGAAGTGTTGAGAGATGACTCAGACTTCTCACTGACAGATAGGGAACTTCCTTTGCACATTCTAAGCAGGGTGTGGGAAGGGCAGGTGCTAACTGTACAGAACAAGATGCACCCAGTAGAAGTCATGAAGAAAGAGAGTAACAGGGGTTGTATCATGGCTGGGCTGTGTGATAAGACTTCAATGTATCGGTGATGTGCACTGTGAAAGGGTCAAAGAGAGACAGCCATATTTGTTATGAGTGAATTCTGGGAGGAAAGAGAGAGTGGGAACCAGATTAGGGGAAGGTTAAATCCTGGTTAGAAATAATGAGTGTCTTAGAACAGCACTGTGCCATCAAAATGAAACTCGGGCCAGAATCTTAAAGGATCTGGCAAACACACATATACATATATGTATGTGTATGTTTCTCACACTGGAATATTATTGGAGAGAAAATAAAGCATCCTACAAATTATTTTTATGTTGAATGTATACACACACAAATACACACACACACAACTTGTATGTATATATAGAGAGAGATAGATAAATCTACTATAAGTACATATTATTTTTACTGAATAGCTCTTAACATATTAGATATTTAGGTATCAGCAAATATACCATATCTTAGTTTAGTATGTAGGGTCCAGATGTGGGAAAGTGCAGAGCTTTCGGTGGAGGGTCTTCATTCTGAAGCCCAAATATAATCTTACAAAGGATATTTTAATGTAGAAAATGTTAGTATGCCTACATGGCAGGAACTTACTAAACACCCAGTTGTCTTAGTTAGGCGAGGAACTCTGGATTCTCAGAAACTATTCACTAACTGGCTAGGCTGGTAAATCCACAAGCAGGAAAGGTCAGCGACACGGTCGGAGGCGGGAGTTTCCGGCTTGTCTAAGGTCCCCCACCCACTTCACTACATAGAAAGGCATTTGTGCCTGATGTGGCAGAATTCCTTGCCACTTATTGGAGTCACTCTGGTAAGAAACCAGCAAAGTCCTTTTCTTCAGTAATCTGGTGCACCACCATTAGAGCTGTTACTTGTGCTTCTGCTGATAAGCCACACTCAGAGGAAGATGAGGACCAGGGAAAAGAACATTCTAGACCCTGTGAGTGGCAGGAAGGGGCGAGAAGCTTCCTGATGTGGCATGGAGAACTAGGCTGCAGGGACAGCATAGAAAGCTTTGAGAGTCTACTCAAACACTGGCGTCCTCCTGCTCTGGGAAAATTGCTGGTCTCAGAGTCTGGATTTCTCAGCATCAACAATGAATAAAACCACAGAAATTCCTGGCACTTGTCAGACATATGAAAGTTTCTCAGGTGATGGGTACTTTCTTTAATAGTTGGGCTTTCTGGCAGAGTAATGCTAACATGCAAAGGTGACACACTAGTACCTCACAGATGGAATGTTCTAGAACAGTCCAATGATACTTAAGAACTCTCTCAGCTGGAGTTCTAGGTGACCAGTGAGACCCTGACAAAAACTCAAGACACCGTATAGTGAGGGGGCTCCCTGCAGGTGTAGCAAGAATGGAAATGAATCACGAAAAGGTGAGAGTAAAAACTCGTTTCAAATTGACTTTATCAACCTGGATCAAGCTAAGGAGTCTGATACAAGGTGGTTTACTGCCAACATATTTAAACCCAGTATAATCTGGAGAAAAAAATCACAGTGTAACACAATCTCTGGTATACAAAAAAGCACAACTACATTAAAATTCGACTCAAGAGTACATGTCAGTTTTTCCAAAAAGCTGGGTTCTGGAGATAGGCCACCTGAACTAGCTAAAGGGTCCAGGGAAGAATCTGGCATGGTCTTGGCCAGACAGATAGTGCAGAGGTCATTTGGGCTATTAGCCATCCTTGGTCCTGGTTGTGGGAGCTCTGGGGAGCCCCTGGCTGTACAGGTAATGTGAGGGTCATTTAGATTATTAGCTACCACTAGTCCTGGTTGTAGGAGCTTGATATGGCCTTGCCCAACAGATAACACAGATCACCAGGCTATTAATCGCTTCTAATTCCCAGCTTTCTGGATGGAAAAGCAGGTTATATGTCCAATCCTTTGAGAGGACAATCCTGTGTGCCTAATATTCCCGGTTTCCCTGGAGATCTGTGGGTGAAAGGGATCTTTGTGCTTCCAACAAAGTAGAACTTAGTATTGAGGACCAGCTGGGCAACTGACTAGCATAAGGCATATATGAGCATTTTTTTCTGAATCTGAAGAAGGGTCTTCCTACCTTCTCTGATGTTTTCAAAAACTACAAATATGTGGGGTGAATTCCCATGGTGACAGTTTTAATGTTTTCAGCAATACTTCATTTTGGAATTGCCTAATCTAGCAGATTACCAAGCATTGAAAAATGTAGGGAAGAGGTAGATTTCCATAGTCTTAATAGCAACTGCCAAACCTAGGAAGAATGGCTACTTACTGGCATGCCCAGCAGGAGACTTGAACTTCACAGGAATTACCTGTTATGGCTTGTCTCCTACCTCCCTCCATTAACTAGTTGCACTTATTGCTCAGAGGGCACATGGCATTGGCAAAAAAAAACACAAAAAAACAAAAAAACAAACCACCAAAACTCCTCTTGCTTTAATTGTTGGTGAAAATTAAAAGTCCCCCTTTCCCCAACCCAGGAACAAGAACTCTACAGTCTGCCCTACTGCAGGATCTGTCAAGGAGAGGTGGACTACTAGCCAATCCTAGTAATTACTCAATTCCTAAGAACTTCATAAAAACCAGTTGATACCCAACAGCTTTCATTATAAGGAAGAATCTCCCTCAGACAGTGTCTTTTGCTCATTTTCCTTCTGTGTTTAACCCTTCCATATTTCTCAGACAACATACAAAAGTCTGCACATGTGTATAGAATTTATTATTAAATAGTTTTTCCTTAGAAAGATAAATACTGGGGACTGGGGATATAACTTAATTGATAGAATGCTTGTCTAACACAGAGAAGGCCCTGAGATCAGTTCGTAGATCCAGATAAACTCGATGTGGAGGCTCACCTGTAACCTCAGCACTCTAGAGGTAGAAATGCAAAGTCATCCTCAGTTACAGAGTATATTTAAGGCTATATAGTTTGAGGCTGGCCTGAGCTCCATGGGACCCTGTGTCCAAAAAAAAAGTTTTTAACATGGTACTTCAACAAGCAGAGAGAAAACATGTTGCTGCATCATGAACAGAATACAGATTATGGGATTTTTTTAAGTGCTTGCATTAGAGAAATCTGGAGAAAATACATGTGGAGAAAGGTGAGACTGCTTTCTGTAAGAAGGCGTTAGTACTGCGTAATGCTTATTGGAAGGAAAAGAAGCTGCTCCGAAGCTCTGTTAATACAACCTACAGCTGAAAACTGTCCTAAACCATCGTCCCGGGAGTCTTTCCCATAGTACAGTAAGAGCTGTCTAAAAGCTCCTGCTTCAGGAAAAGGATAGGTGACATTTGGCACAGGCCTTGAAAATTGTAATGTGAGGAGGAAACCGAGAGATCAGAACTGAGCTGTAATGCTGCGATTTGATGCTTATGAAGCAATTTTGTGCACCAAGGAGCTACGCGAGTGCTTCACATCGTTTATTTATTATTGTAATATCAGCAACAGCAACACAAGTCTCAAGTGAGGAAGGCAATCTAAATACGAGAAAACTGAAGTTCAGCGGGAGTAAGTCACACAACAGCCAGGTTGCCACAAACACTGTGCAGATGACCAGGGACATAAGTCCTTGGCCAAGGGCCCACAGAAAGCTTAGGAGCCGTGCACACTCAGAAAAAAAGTGATTTTATTTGTTTGTTAGCCACAAGCCCCCAAGAGGGTTGGAAAAGATGTGAAGGAATAAGCCTGTCCTCTTGTCAGACACAGTCTGCTGCTTTTGTTATTTTCTCAGAGGGGTCAGTGATTCAGAAGGTGGTAACATCCAGGGGCGGGGAAGATGGCTCAGTGGGCAATAACGTGTACTGCACAAGCATGAGACCTGAGTTGAGATCTTCAAGATTAATGTAAAAAGCACGATGTGGCCATGCGTACCTGTATGCCCAGTGCTGTGGGGACTGAGACAAGAGGATCACTGGGTCTTGATGGCCAGCCAGACTATCTAAAATGGCAAGCTCTGGATTCAGTGAGAGAACCTGTTCTCAAGAGAAGGAAGAAGAAAGAAAGTAGGACACCCATGGGTCCTCTGGCCTCTGTACTTGTACACAGGTGTGCAGACCTGGTCACACATATACACCGTAGAGGCAGAGACCCAGAGATAGGCAGAGGCAATGAGACAGACAGAGACGGAGATTGATTAACATATATAAGGTCCAAAGAAAGACCTGGATGTAGTGATATGCCTTTTAGTCCTAGATATTTGGGATGTTGCAACAGGAGAATTGAGTAAACCAGAAGTTGGAAGCTAGCTTAGGCAACAGCATAGCAAAGCCCCAGCTAAAGGAAAAAAAGAAAAGAAAAATCGGGAGATAGTCAAAAAAGTCAAAAGTCAAAAAAGTCCAGGAGAGACAACTCCAACTAGTCATGGCGTCAGTTAGCAGACTGAGAAAGGGATCCTTAGTAACTTCATGATCGGTCTTTTTCTCTTTAAGCCTCTTCAAGCCCTCAAATACTCTTGAGTCCACAACGCATATCAACAAACACCTAAGTGTCAAAGGCAGACAAAAATGGCTGGGTAAAACAAGGACACAGACACTGGTAGTCCTTCTTTCTTCATTTCCCTCCGTGGTCAAGAGCAATGTCCTTGGCATCAGAACATTGGCCTCTTTCTGATGTTTTGTTTTAGGGAATCGCTTCTCTGCTATAGAGAGCATTTTCTGTAGAGACTGTCAAGTGGGCCGCCGAGAGCTTCTCTGTTACTGCTGTCAGATTTGCTCCTTGAGCTGTCAGTAAGCACCCACTGTGGTGCTCATGTTACACAAGGAGGTTGTTCACCGCTGACAACAGCAGGAGCTCCATGGGTGGAAGTCAAAGGGCAAATGCCTGGTGGGTGGATCATTCGTTTACTCCACTGAGGGCCTCTTCTCTCTCACAGATGTCAGGAGAAAGGTCCAGACTTCAGAAATTCCTGGGCTTCAGTGTACATGTATGTATCTAAGTAGATATCTACACCTAGATCTGTGTATGACATAAAAACCGAATGATGGTAGGAAAGAGATCAGCAGGAGGGGCAAAATATAAGATAAACAAGAGAGAGGGATGCAAATATGGGTGACGATATGATAATATACATTACGGCAACACCATAACGAAATCTATTATTAAAGAAATCTTTTTAGGGATTTAAAAATATTTTAGGGATTGAGTTTGTTTCCCAGCACCTATTTAAAAATTGCTGTACGTGGTGGTGTGTGCTGGTAATCCCAGTGCTAGGGACATGATGACAAGGTAAACCCTGGGCTTTCTGACCCATCAGCCTAGCCTCTTCGGCAAGTTTCAAGTCAATGAGAGATCCAATGTCATTTGAGAGAGAGGGAGAGTGCACACTCCTGAGAAAGAACCAGGCAGTGGTGACACATACCTTTAATCTCTGTAAGTTCTAGGCCAGCCCAGTCTACAGAGTGAGTTCCAGGATGTCCAGGATTACACAGAGTTTTGGGGTAGGGCAGGAGATGGGGAGGCTAGCCTTGAACTCATCCTGCAGCCCACAAAGAGACTGAACTTGCAATCTTCTTGCCTCAAGCTCCCAAATAGGCGGGACTATCATTTATACCACCAAGTATGTCTTTGGGAGGGCTTTAGTAGGAAAAGGCACAGAGTCTTGGAAGTGTGGGGCAATAATGCATACAGTAACTGGTTGAGATTCCAGCAGACTTCCTGGAGCCAGATTATATACAGGCAGGGAACATACAGTACATTCCTTGCTCTGGGCAAGGCAGACTTCATTGCTACATCTGAGAATCTGCCTCACTTTTAACCCAATACCCTGTTCTCTATCTATAGAAACATTGTATTTCATATCAAAATGGTATTGCTATTTGCACATTATAGTTAAGAGCTTTCAGAAGTCACGCAGAACTTAGTGCTTATAAGTAACACAAAATCTTCCAGTCCCTTAAGGAAGCAGTCACACTGTGGGACTTAGAAAAATAGAGTCATCCATGCTAGGAAGATGGCTCAATAGATAAAGCAAAGTACTTGCCATGTAAGTATGAGGAACTGCATTTGCCCCCTCAGAACCCATTTAGATGCTGGCTAGGTGTGGATGACTACCTGTAATTTCAGTGCTCAGGGGCAGAGACGAGGGATCCCCAGAACAAGCTGGCTACCTAGGGGAGCTATACAGATGAGTTCTGATCTCCTCTGGTAGACCCTGCCTCAGTGAATAAGGTAGAGGGAGACTGAGGAGAGTTCTTGACGTCAACTTCGAACTCCACATGCATGCGCACACCTGGAGAGAAGGCTCAGTGATTAGGAACACTGCTGGTCTTCCAGAGGACCCAGCTGACTCCCAGCACCCATAAGGTGGCTCACAACTGTCTGTAATCAAGTCCCAGGGGATCTGATTCTCCCTTTTAGTCTCTGTGGACACTGCATACACATGGTGTAGAGACATACATGCCAGCAAAGCACTCACATATTAAAAAAAAAAAGTCCTAGATTTGTATCCTCTTATTCATATTGCAGTAAAATGGAATAATTCTGCCCTCCCTAAATCTGATCTATAACTGAAGTTAGGTATAGTCCAACTTCAGCAGAGGTGACTATTCCAAACAGTCTTTGGGTAAATGGGATAAACCTGGGCTCCTGGTAGCCATTGGTGCTATTATGACTTCTAAAATTCTAAAAGGTAAACCTAAGATGACACGCATATCAGACAAATTTTCAACATCTCCAGTATCTAATGCTTTGTATTTAAACAGGCAGTGAGACAAAGAGACAGTGAGAGACGGAGAGCTGTCTACCATTTCAGAGGAGAAGGGAAATGAAAGTGGTTCCCGTCGGCTAGCCAGACAGAACACCTTTGCTGTGAAGGTCTGCAAGAACTGGTTAGCAACAGCAAACACGGACATTCTTTCACCACACAAAGCAGCAGAGGTAAACAATGGGAGCAGCCTGGTCAAGGTCCCATGAGGGGTGACTCAGCACAACTCCACTTGACCAAGCAGCTCTCTCACATCTGAAGCAACAAGATTCAACACCAACTACAAGCGTATTGCTCATTACTGCTTTCTCGGTTGACTGTTTGTCTAGACTGTATGGAGCTTCTGAAATAAACCTTCCTGAGAATAATGACTTCAAAGGAAGGTTCTTGGGAAGGAGCTAGCACAGGCTACCCTGCAGAGGGGCTTTGCTAGGAGAGGGGATCCTGAAGGGGGACAGCTGACCTTCAGATCCAGAAAGAACCTGCATTAGGAGAGACCACCATCGTAGCATGGTAGAGGGAGAGGCACGCCCTATGGTTCCTGAAATACAGAAGAGCTATGACATGCATGGCCATAGGCAAGCACAATGGAACCTTAAGAACAGAAAGAGAAGCTTTCCTTCAGGTCTGAATAACAAAGAGAAGTTCTGACTCTTTCGTTCTCAGGGCTGGTGGGCAAGCTTCATACCAGCCTGGTCTGGCATAACTGCCAATGGGAGGGAGGCGGGCCCTAGTCTGAACCTATACACTTACCTTGTAGCTGCTAAGAAGGGGAACTGCAAAGCCACACCACAAAGCTCCCAATCAATTCCCTGCTTCAGCGAAACAGTTGCAGGGGATGTGGCCTGATATCTGGGGGACCGAGAAAGGACCTGGAGAGTCTGTGTTCTCTAGGGTAATGCAGGGTCTCTAGTTAGATCACCCAGTCATCCCTGTAAACTGTTGGTGTTTACAAAATACCAATACTTATTATGAAATATCATATTGATATGTACCTTAAGGACTAATGTGATACCTGAGACAATTAATGCACATAAAATGCTTGGAACCCATCTAGGTATGCAACGTACTGTCAACAAATGTTAGCTATTGTTGCTGCTGCTGTTATGCAAATACGTGACCCTCCTACCCCATCATTAAAAGGTTTGGGAACAGGTTTGATATGTCACAACAACTGGAAAAATAGCAGTGGGAGGTAGGGCAAAGCCAGGAGCCAGAATCTAGAGTTGTTCTTTGTCTAGAAATGTGGGGGTGTACCTTCTTGACACCTGATGCCAGTTTCTTTCTTTGCCTAGTGGTCTCAGTCACAAGCTGATATGCCCGGCACATAGAGATGTCTATGTGCTAGATGAAAGCATATGTGGAGACCAATTAACATTTAAACTTAAAATAAAGACAAATTTGTTTTAAGGATTCCCAGCACATAGGAGAAACTGAAAAATTCTTCAATTAGGAATGATTACCAAGTGGAGTGTGTTGGTTTATGCCTATAATCCCAGATCTCAAGAGGCCAGTTCAAGGTCACCCTAAGTAATATATCCAACAAGTCAGCGTGGGGTACATAACAAGGCCCTGTTGTGGTGGCTGGGATTACAATAGTTACTAACAGTTAGAGAGGTTTGTTCAAATTCATTTTCTTGACTAAACTGAACTGTTAACTTCCACCTATAGTATCCCATTAGCTCAAATGCTCTGAAGGCAAGAATAATTCTTATTTCCTCCTATCTTTCAAGTGCTCAGAACAATGTCAAATGGCACAGTTGGGATTTAACATTTATTAGCTGGCTACTGTTGTTGCTGTAGTTATGCTAATGCCTGACTCTTCTACTAAATTCTCAAGACGCATATGAGAATTTCATATACTTTGTCCCAGCCAGTGGAGCAAGGCGTTGAGGGTAGACTTCCACATAGACTTTGAAGAAATGAAATAAATATTGTTTCCTTAGAGACAATACTAAAAAGGGACAGCATTCGGGGATCTCACCGAGTGTCAGAGAGTGTGGATGTGCACACATCATAGCTGTCAGAGTGGGTGTGATAAAATCAAGGCACCACAGTGAAGTACAAGACAGAAAATAAACAGAAACTCAGACAATGTTAGGAGAATCAAACCCACCATTTAATTTTCAGGAGTCTTTTACGGAGTGGTTTTGAGACAGGGTTTCTCCGGGTAGCCCTGCCTGTTCTAGAAATTGCTTTGTAGATCAGGATGACCTTGAACTCACAGATATCTGCCTGCCTCTGCCTCTAGAGTGCTGGGATTAAAGGCATGCAGCGCCACCGCCTGGGTAGGAGTCACTTGCAAATCTGTAAAATGTGAAGGTTTTTGAGATGAGAGTTGCAGTATATACCCCAGGCTAGGCTTGAACTCAAGAATCTCCTGCCTTGGTCTTCCGAATACAAGGACGACAGGAGTGTACCATCATATCCAGCTCTGAAATGAGATTCTTGAAGAACAGACCTGAGACACATGAAAGTGGTCATTGCAGCCAAGCATGCAGTGGAGAGTAATGTCTAATGAAATTATGTTCATAAATCAATTGTTTGGAATTTGAGCAGCATTGGGTTTTTCTTTTTTCTATTTTTGTTTTTCAAGACAGGGTTTCTCTGTGCAGCCCTGGCTGTCCTAGAACTTGCTCTGTAGATGAGGCTGGCCTCAAACTCACAGAGATCCACCTGCCTCTGCCTCCCAAGTGCTAGAATTAAAAGTATGAGCCACCAGCGCCCTGTGATGTCTTAAAGTCTTGTATGACTAGAAAATAACAATTGCTTAAGAGATACTGTTAAATTAAAAAATCAGAAGTCCATGAAAGAACATTTCTCTAGGACTTAGGAGTAGCTAATGCTTCCACTCCTTCAGAACTCCTGACTGACCAGAAACCTAATCTAAGCTGGTTTTCTGGCACGGAAGAGTGTGAACCACATGTCTCAATCACACCTGCTGCCTTTTCCCATGACAGAGAGGACCTCCAACCAGTGAGTTCTCCCTTCTACAGCTTTAGGCTGCATCTAGTGGCACTGGTGTGTTTTAAAAATGCCTTTACTCCTTTGAAGAATTATCATCTTTAGGCTAATATTTTACAGGATATCTACTTTTTGGCATTTGGATATATATGTGCGTGTGTGTGTGTGTGTGTGTGTGTGTGTGTCTATCCATCTAGCTACTGAAATATATATGTGTGTGTATGTCTGTATACACACTATTTGTCTATTTAACTAGATACTAATAGGTCAATGTTACTCCCATGTACATCCCAGGCTGGACTCAAATTTGCTATGTAACCAAGATGACCTTAAACTCCTCATTTTCCCATCTCCACCTCCTGAGAGCTTGTATTACAGGCATGTTCCATCACAGCCAGGACTTCATACATGCCACTCAAGCGCTCATAAACCGACTGAACAGCTCAGTTTGTAACACTTTTATGATATTTAACAAGTTGACCCAGTAGAGTAAGACCTAATATTTGGTATTTATTTAAGTCGAGATAATTCTTTGGAAATCTAAAACAAGTGGGGAAAACAGCTTCAATTTTATCAATCTTTCTATAAGAGATTTATCTTTATTTTATGCTTATAAGTGTTTTGTCTGCATATATGTATGTGTACCATATGAATGCCTAGTGCTATCAGAGGCTAGAGATGGCATTAGGTTTCCCTGGAACTGAAGTTACAGGTGGCTATAAGCTGCCATGTGGGTGCTAGGAACTAAACCTGGATCTTTTAGGAGAGAAGCCTGTGCCCTTAAATGCCAAACCTATCAGTAGCTAGATGGATAAATAAATAATGATGTGTGTGTGTAAGATATATATATATATGTATATATATATATCCACAAATAAATTTACATATATGCAGGTGTAGATTTCAGCTTTCAGCATCCACCTATATTTTTAGCAATCTAAAATAAAATATTGTAGATGTTGAAGTATTCTCAGAGACATGCTACTTTGCCAGGATTATTTGACTTTATGTGAAATCAGACTTCATCATTGCTGTGCTCCACCCTTGCCATATTCTTCAAGTAGTACTTGTCCTTCTTGTCCCATCTTCTGTAGCCTATTGTGACAGGACTAATGATATTAGCGTAGCTTGCTTTTCTTCTTGCTAAAACTTACATTACACTACCAGCAGTTCAGAGTACACTATCTGATTCATAATGAGCTGTATTTTAACTGCTTTAATTATTTCCCGATACTTTCAAAGTTCACATTTATTTTGTTTAAAGGCAGACAAATGCAAAGATCAGTCCTCTCATTTGGATTATAATATTCAAAGCAATTAGTCTAATAAGATGTTACTAATTTTTTTCCTTGGGAGCGATATATACTTCCTCCTAAAGTCCAACAATGAACCAAGGTACAATTCCACCGAGGTTTGCTCTGGGGAACTACTGAGTTTATTGGGCTTATGTACAGAACATGGATGAGGAGTTACTTTCAGGGATGTGGGTAATCTCCCAAAAGGCCCCACTGGCAAGTTTTTACCCAGAAGAAATGATGGCCTTCCCATAGGCTCATAAATGGAGCCCTCTCCCCAGTCCTGGTCTTTCCCCTCCTGTATACTCTAGCCCCTTCCTGAGGCCATATGCAATTAGAGCAGAATTGCAAACAACTAACTGGAAGGAGAAGCGGGATATGAAGGGGAGGATACCTTGGAACTGAAGCTACAGATAATTTTAAGCTGCCACATGGGTGCTGGGAACTGAACCTGAGTCCCCTGCAAGAACAGCACATGCTCTTAATGGCTGAGCTATCTACTCAGACCCCAGACTAATTTCCTCACTATGATGTTTTCATATGCACGTGTCCTTATATTTTGTTCTCACTTGCTGTTCTCCTTCACTGTTCTCTTCCTCCATACTCTATGTCCTTTTTCTCGTTGGTTCCCTTCTTTCACTTTTCTGTTTTCCCCTCCCTTTAGATCTCTTCCTTTCCTCTCATTATTCCCTTTCTGGTTTTGTGATCTATATACGTATACTCATACATATACATACACATGTATATAAAATTTTAAATCTAGGTTCTCTATATAAAAGAGAATGTGAGGTATTTGTCTTTGTGAGTCTGGCTTACTTTACTCAACATGATTTCCAGTTGCATCCTGCTCCCTGCAAATATCATGATATCACTTTTCCTTGTGGCTGCATAGAGAATTCTACTGTGTATACAGACATTCATCAGCTGATGGACACCTAGGCTGTTTTCATTTCCTGCCTATCATGAACACAACATGGATACAAGCATGTCTGTGACATGCTGATTTCAAAAGCTTTCAGACATAGACCTGAGAGCGGTTGGTACAGCTGGGTCATATGGTAGTTTTATTTTAGTTCTTTGAGAAGCATCCACATTGAGTCCTATAGTGGC